CTAGCCTGGAATTTACAGCAATCCTCCTGCCTCAGCCTCCCAGCCGCTGGGATTACAGGCATGTGCAACCATGCTGATAGTAGCCTAATTACTGTAGCTTTGTAGTAATTTTTTTAAAGACAGGGTCTTACCTGGCCTTGAACTCAAGACAAACCTCCTGCTTCAGCTCCCTGAGTGCTAAGATTATAGGTGTGTGCCACCACTCCTGGCTCTGAGTATAAGACTTGAAGTTAGGTGGTGTTGGTCATTTGGTTCCTCTGTAATTTCCCTTTCTTTCTCTCTTCCGGTCCCCCCCCATTCTCTGTAAGGCTGTGTAAGGAGCAGGGAAAGGGGACATTACCAGAACCCCTGCAGGTGAGTCCCCAACAGTACAAGGCAGATTCATGAATAAAGACAGGAATTGAGACTTGAGAAGACCTTTAAGAAGCAGGCTCGGTCAGGGGAACTAGGTCTCAAGGACTCCACTTTGGTGCATGGGTCAGCATTGTTTCAAGGGATTGGGTGAGGCCACCTGTGATGGGTCATCCTCACACAAGCGGGCTGTCACAGCTGGCGGCTGTCCCACACGTGGCCACTTCCTCTTCTTTTGTGCTATGCTGTGACACAGTGCAGAGGCCTTTGTCAAACCTGGTACCATGCTGTTTGGACTTCGCAGATACAGAATTTTGAGCCAAATAGAGCTCTTCATATGTTACTCTGCACTAGTGTTTTGTCATAGCAATACAAATGGGTGGAGAGAATGGTTTCAGGAGGTATTTTGTCATCTTTTGAATTTTTTGCAGAGATGAATGGGACATCTGTGAACAAAGATAGCTGTACTTTTTCTTTCCCACTTTGTGTACATTTTATTTCCTTTCCATGTCTTATTACATTAGCTAGCACTTCCAGGATATTGAAAAAACAGTGATGAGAAGGAACATTCTTCCCTTGAATACCATCTAAGCAGGAAAGCTTCTAGTTTCTCACCGTTAACTATGTATGATGTTAGTTGTCTTTTCTTGGTATATTCTTCATGCAGTTCTATTCTGAGTCTACTGAGAATTGTTATCACGAATGGGTGTTAGATCTTATTAAATGCCTTATCTGGGATTGATTTTTTTTTTTTTTGTACTGGGAATCGAACTTGGGCCCTTGTGCTTTCTAGGCAGGCAGCAGAACCACTGAGCTAAATCCCCAGCCCCTCCTATGATTGTTTTCTTCCCGCTTTTCAAAGGTGTTTTATATAGCAAAGCCATGTGGAGAGGCAGGTACAAAGTGGGATGAGACTATAAGACCCAATGGAAAATCATAGGTGGGGCAAAACCATGACCAACCAATAAGATTATAGGTAGTCACCCAGGTAGTATTCATTAAATGGGGTCAAATGGGGGAGAAGGTCAGGTAGCAAGCATAGAAGGATTTTCAGTAAGGGTGGGGTCAGGGACATTTCCTGGAAAGGCTGGACTAAGACCTCGACCCCCACCCAGGTGAGTGATACCTATTTAGAACATCAATCACTGCTCTGTATCCCCAGGGGAAGCACAGGGGCTTAGTAGTTTCTCTCCTTTTACAATTCTGGCCTTCAGTGAATGTGTCTTGATTGCCCTCCAGGTTGGCTCCTTGCTATGTTGGCTCCTTGAGGGTGGCCCTTTCTAAGCGCCTGCAAGATATCTAACTTACCTATCTGCACTATTCCTCCCTCTGAAGAAGGGCCCCTAATTGCTGTGAGGGGGCAAAGGCCGAAGACAGCGCTGGCTACTTCCAGCTGAAGACTACAGAGGGTCTATCTGAAGGCCTGCAGTAGGCACCAGGCGTTGTTATCTTGGTAGCTGCATGGCTTTTAAAGTCAAAGATGTAGGATCCTATCAAAAAGGTTCCCCCCTCATGTCCTGGATTCTTGTTGACCTTGAAGGGCTAGGGCCAAAATATTGGTTGTCCTCATAACCCAGTTAGTTACCTTTCCAGTTTTGGTCTCCAAACATTCTGGAAGCTTTGTCTTGAAATCCAGCAGCCAGAGGAGGAAAGTGCCTTGAATTAAATAAATACTCTGACCAGTAATCTCAGTGGAAGACCTCCAAAGTGATACAGGGGGAAGAGCTGTATCTCCCAAACCTGCTAGGTATCTGAAATGCAAGTTCATGTTCTCCAAAATCGAAGAATGAATTCTAGGAACAACGGAGGTTAGAGTAGTAAAATTTATTGGGGGAAAGAAAGCTGTGTAAGAGAGACAGAAAGGGGACTGGAAAAAGGGTTGCCCTTGTCTCTCTGTCTCTCTCTCTGTGTCTCTCTCTGTCTCTCTCTCTTTTGAGACAGGGTCTCCCTGTGTAATTCAGGCTGTCCTTGAACTCTACATAGCCCAGGTTGACCTCAAACTCAACCTTCCTGCCTCAGCCTCCTAAGTGCTGGGATTACAGGCTTCCACCATCACACCCAGTTTTCACATTTTCTTTTTATTAGTCCATGTTTGTAGTCCATGAGTACATTCACGTGGTGAGTTGGTGTATATACAGAACACATCTAATTCTTCTTTATCGCCTCCCCTCCCTTTCCTCCTCCTCCCCTCTATTTTCTGGTCCCCTTGGCTTATTCATTTTTTTTTTCTGATGTTACAGCAGCCTTGCATACCTGGGATCAATCCACTTGGTCAGGGTGTATAACTATTATATATTATTAGATTCAGTTTGCTTGTTACCTCATTGAGGACTTTTGTATCTATATTCATGACAGATTTTAATGTCCATGGGATATTTGGAGCTGCCTCTTTTTCATTTCTGCCTAATAATTTGTATCATCTTTTTTGGTTTGTTTTTTTGGTACCGGGGATCAAATTTAGGCCCTTGGGAGGCAGGCGGTGGAAGCACTCAGCTGAATCCCCAGCCCTGTATTATCTATTTTTATTATTTAGCCTTGGTAGAGATTGTTTGATTTTACTGAACTTTTCGAAGAACCGCCTTTTGGTTTTGTTGATTTTTGTCTATTTACTATTTTCAATTTAATCAATTTTTTGTGTTTTTTTTGGGGGGGTACCAGGGATTGAACTCGGGTCCTTGCACTTGCAAGGCAGGCCACCGAACCGCTGAGCGAAATCTCCGGCCCTATTTCATCAATTTTTAATTTTTATTTTTTGTGTATTTACATTTAAATTTTTATTTTACTTTTTTTGTTTTTTGTTTTCTTAGCACGGGGGATTGAACTCGGGTCCTTTTGCTTGTGAGGCAAACAGTGGAACCACTGAGACAAATCCCTGGCCCATTTTTCTGGTTCTTAAAGTGGAAGCCCAGATTACTTATTTTAGATATTTCTTATTTTCTCATGTAGCAGTAAATGTTATATATTTCTTTCTAAGCATTGCTTTTGCTACATCTCACATATTTTGATAAATTACTTGCATTTTACTTCATATTGACCTTTTTTCTTTTCTTTTTTTCTTTTTCTTTTTTTTTTTGGTACTGGGGAGCAAACTCGGGACCTTGTGCTAATGAGCTAAACCTAAATCCCTGGTGCTTTTTTCTTTTTCGCAGTCATGGAGATTTAACCTAGGACCTTTGCACATGCTAGGCAAATGCTTCACCATCCAGCACTTCTGGCCCTTTTAATTTATTTTGAGACAGGTTCTTGCTAAGTTATCCAGGTTGGCCTCAAACTTGGTGTCTTCCTACTGCAGTCACCTGAGTAGCTGAGATCACAGGTGTACACCACCACATCTGACTTTTAAACTGCTAATGTTAGAGGGCTGGGCTTCTGGCCAGTGATAGGACACTTGTCTAGCATATGTGAGGTGCTGTGCTCCCCAGCACTCCAATAGGGAAAAAAGGGCATTGAGAAGAAAGAAAGTGAACGCTATAAGTTGTGGCAGGTACATATATAGATGTGTTAAGGTGCAGTGTTCTATCCTATGTAGCCATAGGGCCAGCTCCATAGAGAAACTGGAGAAATCAGTGGTCATGGAAGTTTCTGCACATCAGAATCCTTCAGTGGAGTCCTCAGAGGAGGATTCTTGGGCTGTTGGGGATTTCAGTTTGGTGCATCTGGTTAGGTTAAGAATCTACTCTCTTTTTGTATTCCGGATGGAGCTGAGGACCTCACTCTTGTGAGGCAGGCCCGATGCTGCTGAGCTAAATCCCCAGCCCCGGGCTTTCTTTTTATAGTGTTTTAAACCAAGCTTGTATCTATCTGAATTCCCTGAGGGTATGATTACCAGATAAACAGAACCATTAGTTAACTAATTTCGATAAAAATAGTTTTTTAGAAGTATGTCTTAAATGCTGTGATTTGAGACAAACCATCTGCTTAAATCCAAATATTCCTGCCAAGCATCAGTACACATCTTCAAGTGAGTCCATCTCTTTGTGTGGATACCTGATGACTATTTTGTCTTTTTTTTTTTTTTTTTGTGGTACTGGGGATCGAACCACTGAACTAAATCCCCGGCCCTTCTATTTTGTCTTTTTAGGAAATTTCAAAATATTTAGCTGAGTGTGGTGGTGATACCTATAATCCCAGCACTCTGAAGGCTGAGGCAGTAAGATTACAAATTTGAGGCTGCCATGGCAACATGTTGACTTAGTAAGACCTTGTTTTAAAATAAAAAGGGGAGGGGGCTGGACATGTAGCTCAGTGCAAATGGACTGGATTTGATCCCCAGTACCCCCCAAAACCATATATGTATGTATGCATGTTTATGTAAATGTATGTATGCATGTCTATATGTAATATGTGTATATATTTATAATCTCAACAGAATTTTTTCCCACTGCTAATTTTCCTATTATCCTTGGAAGCAAAAAGCTCAAGAGAAATATTATAACTAATCTTTCACACTTTCTCCTATTCTCTGTTTCTTTTTGCTTTCACACCTCTGCTTTTGTCCAAATGGTCTGCAACACATGAAATTTCTTCCGGGGCTTTTCCACCCCTTTCTTCCTTTTTTTCTTTCTCCAGGTTTTATTTTTCCCCCTCCCCCTCCCTGCTTTCTTCTCTGGCCAAGCTAAAAACCTGTAGGAAGAAGTCAGGGTCCTGGGCCGGCCCACTGCTCTGCGTCCCGGAAGGGCCTGCTTTTACCTCTTCTCCCCAGAGAGTACGGCCAGGGCCAGAGAGCTGGGAGGAGAAGTCGCTTTGCTGGAGGATGGCAGTGACAGTGACGGATGGCGCCGCCGCGGTCAGGGCTGGCAGCCCCGCAGGATGAGGAGGGAGCCTGCGGCAGCGGAGGAAGAGCCGAGCAGGAGGGGCCCTGTGCGTGCAAGCTGTGCGTGGATGGTGGGGAAGCCTTTGCGTCGTCGGAGTGCTGGTTTGTGGTCGCGTGTAAATGTATGGCTGACTTTTTGCCAGACTCCAGAGTTCTATGGAAGTCTGGCAGTGAAGCCGAGACATGACAAAGTCAGAATTTAGAAGGAAATATGGGGGCAGCGTGAGATGGAAACAAAGAGAGCAGCTGTTGTAACCAGAGAAGAGAGACTTAGAGCTTAGAGTGAGAGGAATAAGGAAAAGAAGGAATGGAAATTCCCTCTTTGTGGCTGGGGATGTAGCACAGGGGTAGAGCACTTACTGTCCGGCTTGTGCAAGACCCTGGGTTCAATTCCCAGCACCATACACACACAAACTGCAAGTTTTAAAATTTTAAATTGCTACTCTGAAAATCATGAGGGCTGAGGGAAATGAGGAATGGTCCATGTTTGTGTTTTCTCTATAAAAGTCAATCTTTACAGGGAAGTTTTAAATGCAGGTGCTGATGAAATTAGTGAGTCGAACAGTTTTATGTAAAATGTGTTTATTAATTTCGGTCCCCTTTATAGACCTTTTTATCTCTAATTTAAAATAAGTCATCATGGGCTGGGGATGCAGCTCAGTGGCACTGTGCCTGCCGGGCAAGTGCAAGGTCCTTAGTTCAATCCCCAGTACCAAAAAATAAAAGTCTATCTTTATAAAAATAAAACATTATTAAAATGCTATTTGATATATAAAATAAGTTAAATGATAGTCCTATAAAAACAGGTCATAACTAGTGATATGTTTGTAGTAATGGTGACTGTTATCTGGAGATACATAGCAATACTTGGTTAAACTTTGGACCTCAGGCACTGGCTGTCTAATGTAATCCTTTAAAAATTCTCTGCATTGTCAGTAACTCTAGTGTATTTTTTATGCAGTACTGAGTTTTTAAAAGTTTATGAAGTTATATTTATGAATTTAAAATTGCCTACATTAAAAAAATTCCTTCTTTAGAAAGGGAGATTTCAGAGGAGGAGGGTTTTTTTTTTCTGGTCCTTGTGCTTGTGAGGCAGGTGGTGGAACCACGGTGCTAAATCCCCAGCCCCAAGGAGGGAATTTTTGAGACAGGATCTAGCTAGGTAGCTCAGGCTGTCTTTGAACTTGTTGCAATCGTCCTGCCTCTGCCTTCCAAGTGCTGGGACTACAGGCGTACACCACCCACACCTGGTGATAACACTTTTTTGTCGAATCTTTATAAGTGAGATTTGGTGAACATATTCTTTGTAGTAAACATTTTTTCAAATTTTAAAAATGCCACTGAGACGTAAGCCAAAACAACAACTGATATCTAATTTTACTTGATAAGAAGTGAGACAACTGCAGACAATCATTTATAGTTTTCAGATGGATTATAAGAAATTTTGGAACAAAGAAGGTAACATCAATTTTGCTACTTAAATTCAAATCTTTGCTCTGGTATTTATTCCCTGTGTGACTTTGGACATTCTACTTAACCTCTCTGTGTCTTGTTTTGTTCATTTGTAAGAATATACTCAAGCCCAGCACTCCAGGAGGCTGAGGCAGGAGGATTAGATAACAAGTTAGAGTTCAGGCTGGGTGATGTAGCAAGACCTGTCTCAATAAAAAGTTAAGTGGGGAGGGTCTAGGGAAGTAGCTCAGGGTGAAGGTCCTGGGTTCAGTCCCCACTATTGAAAACAAGCCCAGAAGGGCTGTAAGGAGGGTTAATGGGCTTAATGTATGTAAACACTCTTAAAACAGTCCACTTTCTAAGGTTAGGTTGATTATGGGACTTAAAACATATTTATTCCAGATACTTCTATGGTATTTTTCTTATGCCGAAGTCTACATTCATCATTTTTAAAGGACGTCAGTATATAAATTATCCTAGTTGTCCAGAAATGTTCTAGAAAACAGCAAAAAACAATGGAACCTGGGTGTTAAAGATTCTGAGTAATTCTATTGTGTCACTTACCACTTTCTATCGCTGTTTCTTTCTCTTCACTGTCTTACCTTATTAGGACAAAACCCAAATTTAAAAGGTACTGAGAGAGAAGACAAATTAAGGAAAGGGGTTTGGAGATTCAGCAGTTGATGGAAGAGAGGATAAATAGGAAAAGCAAAGAAGACAAATAGATGAATAAACAGCTTGATGACCAATGTGGGTTGGAAACCAAGACAGTAAAAATGATTGGAAAACAAAATGAAGACACAGGGAAGAATTTGGACAGAAAAGAAATAAGCCATTGTTTCTGGGCATGTAGGATAATTACACGAACGTTGAGTATTGCTCCCTAGTCTAAATTTTCCACTGTGCAGTTATAACAGGCTGAGACAATCATGGTAGTGCCAGTCTATTAGGGTGCTTGGATTCTGTGCACATCCATCCAGGGTGCTGCTGGTGACACATGAATGATGCAGGCTCACAGCTCTTACGTGAGCTGAATGTCTTCATTTCTTTGGGTGGATTCCAGCTATGAGAGTCCACGCCAGGTGGGGTCCTGCTTTCCCCCTTTTCTATTCCTTGGTGTTTGCTGTGTTATTTAGAAGAGGACACGACACCGCTCCAAATTTACTTATTCCATTTTTCTTTATTATTCTTCCAAAACCTATATACTTTTTTCTCCTCCCGGGACTGGATCTACATTCTCACCTCTTTTTATTTTTTAATTTTGAGACAGGGTCTCACAAAATTGCCCAGTGCTGGGATCACAGGCGGGTGCCATCACACACTGCTCAAAACATACACTTTAAAAATACTCTTCAGCTGGGTGTGGTGGCGCCCGCCTGTGATCCCAGCACTCAGGAGGCTGCTGAGGCAGACAGATCGCACTTGAGTTCGAAGCCAATCTGAACTACATAGCGAGAACATTCCTCAAAAAAGAAAAGAAAAAGGCATCCCAGGCAGCTCCTATGTGTTAGTGAAATGGAAAGCTTACAATAAATAATAAAATGAAAGAAAGGAGAAAACCCCATTCTTCCAGTCCTCTGATTCAGTCTTTCTGTCCTTGCCCACCCTTCTCCCACGGTGTTTGCCGTCTCCATTGTCTTAGCAGTTAGAAAGGCATTCAGTTTAATTTGCAGAAACGTAGTGGAAGAGGAGGAGGGCAGTGGGCGGAGAAAGGCTGGACCCGCGTTTAGCTATTCTGACTGCGGACTGTTGTTGTCGGGCTGGTTCGAGCCGGCTGGAGAGGAAGCCGTAGGGGGAGCTGGATTTACAGCAGCTGTTGCGGCTACCATTCCGTGTTTGCTAGCGAAGGTCGTTACTGGACACCGCCGCCGCCTCCTCTCTAGCCACATGAATTTTGCAGTAATCGCATCGGATACTCCATAAAGAATACTATTTTGGGCGCCGATAACCACCTTGGGTTCAGAGATTGAATTCCTGTTTACAATTCTTTTTACTACTCGCATTCCTTTAGTGTTGATGAAATCCCAGCTTTTCTCCTGTGCTGAAACTCAAAAGATTTGTAACACATGGTGGAGCAGATTTGTAAAAGATGTTTGCTGGACCTGCAGTCTAGGAAAAGCTTGCTGTTTTTCCAAGTGGGAGACCCACCTCTTGGCTGAGGCAGACACGCACCTCTATATAGAAACAGAACCCAGAGAAGCGGCTTGCAGGGACCTGGGTAGATTTGTCAGGACAGAGTTTGTTTTCTTTAAACCTTTGTTTGCAGGTACCTTCCTGGTGGAACATTAAAAAAAATTGTGCTATTGTATTCTAACCAGCTAATCTGATTGAAAACCCTGAGAGGGTGAATAACCTATGCATTTCATTACAAATATATTTAATATTTCTGTTGCCCTAGGACTGTATGTTAGAATCCCCTGCACAGCTCTGAAAAATAACAGGCTTCCCAGCACCAGTTCTGCTGTAGTGACAGCTCGACAAAGTAGTAACTATTTTCAGCCTCACTTTTGCAGGTGAGCAGAGTAAGAGCGAGAGAGGATGTGACTGCGGATGGTCTAACACCTGTAGGGCCAACAGAAATCCAACCCAGACTGTGTCTCCAGCAGTCGCTACCCAGCTCTTAAAGAACTCAGTGCCCTATGCAAAATCAGCAAAAAAAAAAAAGCCCAGGTGATGCAATTACGTTGGCAATGGATTGGGAAAGGAGCGCTGTATGGAACTTGTTGCCTCGCTATATGGAACTTGTTGCCTGAGTTTCCCAAGAAGCCACTCCGGCTTGCAGGAAGCAGGACGGGTAGGACAAGTGAAGTGCCCATCGTGGATGCTCTGATTTATCTGTTTTTTAACCTTCCCGTTTGATTCCTGTTTGAAGATTTTTGGTTTAGGTAAAAAATAAGCTTTAAGGCTGTGCACTTTAAGTGATTCAGACCTGTAATTCCAGCACTTTGAGAGGCTGAGGCAGGATGATTGTAGTTTCGAGCCTTAATGGAAACTTAATGACTTAGCAAGATCCTGATTCTAAACAAACAAATGAACAAACAATAAATAGAGGGCTAAGGTTAGCCTATTGTGAAGGCTTGGGTTCAATTCTCAGTACCAAATAATAAACTTTTTGTTTGTTTTGTTTTTTGAGACAGGTTCTTATATGTATTTTAGGCTGGCCTTGAACTCACTATGTAGCCCAGTCTGTCCTCAAGCTCAGTGATCTTCCTGCCTCAGCCTCTAGAGTGCTGGGATTACAGGCATGTGCCACCATGCCCAGCTGAATAAACTTTATAATCTGAAGACATTACTCACTCCTAGTCACGCTCAGGGCCATACAATATTTAATTATTTGTATTAGCACACATACCTAAATAGTATTTAATTTCTTTTTGCTATTTGGCTGTTTCGGCATCGGCTTGAATAACAGTCAACATTTAATGTAGTCCATGATGGCTGATGAGAAAACAGATTTATGAAAGTTATGCAATAATCCTATGTACCAGTAGGTAAAGCTGGGCTTTCAAAGCAGGTTCATCTGATTTGGGTTACTTAGGTCTTCCCAGGGGACTCCACTAACCTTAGGGGCCTCTGAAGAATATTAATTCACTGGTTAACGATCAGTG